CGGATGGGGTCGTACTGGAAGGTTAAAATTAATTGCTATTTTAGAAGTTTTATATCGTCTTGCAATGTATTGTGCACCTAAGTCTATGCTCGCTCCGTGGACTTGAACATGACATTTTTCTGGGGAGCAGAAGGAGCATATACCCATTGATAATGACTGGGCAAGTCGAATAGGTCTGCTTGTATGTGTTCAAATCATCGGTGTACAGAATTGAGTCTTTGAAGTCAGAGTCCCACTCCCATGACCCTGTTCATCCACAGGAACAAGTAATTCATGTCTCGCCCGTGATGGTACAGCGCGACAACGACAATTCTCGTCCTTTTCTGCGTATCTGTGTATTCGAAGCGCTCGCAGCGAGAAGCGCTAGGGCTATGTCTGCTTTGCAATGATGGCTGTCATGCTGGAGAGACCGGATACTATAAGTTTGGTTGATAGCATTGATCCAGTGCAATATCATCCAAGGAGAGGACAGGACTTGCTGCAAGGAATCTGACGTGCGCATAATGTCTATCAGAGTCCCAAAGACGGCTACATGGTGAGCGTTCAAAAATGGTCAACTATAGCCTCCAGTCGGCCTTGGATGTGCGATCGCGGGTTGATGGCAACAGATGAGACGGCTGAGATGGGTAAGGCTGAAAGTGGGGAGTTCGTCAAGCATGGGATCTGTCGGGTCGATCAGCTTCGACGTCAATCTGGTACCTTCATCATTGTATGTCTTGGCATGCCCGAGGCTGCAGGTGGACTCTGAAGGCGTCATGGCTCCGGACGAAGCACGAGCTAGAATCCTGGAAGGAACCCCTCACCAGCCACGCACCATTCTACGACGACGACGACGACGACCTCTACCAGATAGCGAGCGCATCTCATCTATTACCTTTCTGCGTACGTAGGTGAAGGTGTGTGTATTCATATCGCGCTACATACGTCTTTGCCCACTCCACTGCCCACCGTCGCATTCCAGGCTTATCAATCCAAACCGACCTTCCCAAGCCACCACCACGGCTTCGGGCTGACGCCTAGGGCTACGACGGATGCCTTTCGCTTCTCATATATATTCTTGAAGTACGCATGTGCACTGCACTATACTGTGCCATTTAGGCATCATCTCTTGCCTGGGATCCCCTTCCGCTTGCGGCTGGGTCACACCAAAGCATCAGCGCCCGAGGACGTGCTTTGTTTCATAACCATAGTAGACCAGACGCCCACAACGAAGCCTCCGAGGCCTCTCCTATCCATCATGTCTCTCACCGACTCCGAAGTCGAACTGGTCAGCACGCAGTTGCAGCGGGAGACGGACGACATTCCAGAGGAACCCGACATGATCCAATCCTCGCATTTTGAAGAGGGCCAGTCCTTCGCTCCACCCCCACGCATCGCTGCCCGTTTCTACCACCATGCGAGCAACCGTCGCAAGTCGTCTGCTGCCTCTTCGCGCCGCAACTCGCTGTCGTCGACACAATCGCACACTTCCAGCCGATCGTTTCGTAACCTCTGCCACAGCCACCATGTCGCCCAGCACCTCCGCCGTGCCTCGATTCTCGAAGACCGCAAGGCCCGACTGGCGGACCGCGCAGCACACGCCGAACAGGTGCGATTGCGCGCTGCGTTAGCCAAGGCAGCTCCACGTGCCTCAAACAGTGAAGAACGAGCGTTGGCTGCGCAGCACGCACGCGAGCGCCACCTGGCTCAGGTGGCAGCCTCCTGTGCTGAGGAGGTGAGGAGGGCTAAGAAGATTGCAGAGGATATGAAGGAGCGCAAAGCTGCCGAGGAGCGACGGTATCGCGTAGAGATGGAGGAGAAACTAGCAGAGGCTGAGAAGAGGCGGCTGGAATACAAGCGCAACCCAAGGAGACCAAGGACCGCCAGCTCGCCCCCTGCCGCTGTGAAGACACCAGCTGAGCGTCCAGCTCCAACGTATGAAGACGCTGCCATTAGGATACAGTCGGTATGGAGGGCTAGGACACGCAAGAATATTGTGAAGGCGTGGCTACAGCTTGGACTGTGCATCGACATGGTCCAAGAGACCAGCTTCGAGGTCATTACCGTCATGCTCGCCGACGACAAGCTCCTGAAGATTACGGAGAAGATCATGACGCTCTTCGTTCTGCTACCAGATGCGGATCCAACGTCGCGCAGTGCCGCTGTACGCACTTTCCTTTCTGCATACCTCATCCTGGGCCACCCTGCACATGTCTTCAGCCGAGACGGTGACCAAGAGCAGGATCTCATCACCAAGGCTAAAGACCTCATCATCTCGTTCGAATCCGCATTAGCCAAGCTGTCATCGTGCAACTCCTTCATGCCCTCACCCACGCGTACAGAGACAGTGCTGTTGGCTCATGGCAGTTTCCTGGCTGCCTTCAATGACTGGAAGGCCCGAGATTCATCGGCTTTGGTTGAAACCATGGTTGCTTCCTTCGTCAGTCTTGATGAGATCTGGCAAAGTGTCAAAGACGCAACTGTGGACGAGGTGGCGAACGAGTACAGGAACGGCATTCGGGATAACCAGGCGATCTTGCTGAGCAAGATCAAGAAGTTGGCTGGCCCAGACAAGGCTCTTACCCTCATCAGGAAGGCTATCCGTGAGAGCAGGAGATCAAGGCCAAAGAAGAAACCAGCTGGAGAGACTGTACGACCACGCGTTGCCATCGATGCGTCACCGACTTCGCCAGATTCTGCCGAGAGTGCAGTTGTCCAAGCAGAAGCCGCTTCAGAACTTGCAGCATCTGGTAGTTTAAGCCACAACGAATCGTCCACGCAAGGGCATCAAGCACAATCGCTCTCCAAGGTTTTCACCGTCGTTCCAGATAACCGCATCTTGGTACATGAGTTGTCTATTGACAAAGAGTATCGCATTGATGCATCGCCGACAGCTAATTTGAGGGACGCACTCAACCGTGAGCTTTGCGATGCAATGCGCAGTGGATTTGAAGCTGGTGATGGCGCAAACTGGACCGCTGCCATGGCAGAAAATATACGCGCCAAACTCTTACGTCTACTCAAGGCTGGCAACTCTATGCACACGCTGATTTCGGAGACATTGGATCCGCAGCTCATCAACAGGCAGTGCAGTCAGGGGTTATTTTCCTACGGCAAATTCTTTGAATTCATTGCAGGCATACTGCCCAAACTCTGTGCGCCTTTCCGGGATGCGCAGGTGCAAGCTTTGGCTGAGGAACTACAAGAGGAAGGAGAGCTACCAGAGATGGTCGAGAAATTGTTCAAGTTACTACATGTCATCGATCTTCTGTCTTTAGACTACTCCAACTTTTTACTCACGAATGCGGCCCCAACTCTGATCAAAGAGGCTACCGGGTACGAAGAGCGCATGTTTGCTCAGGACCTCGAGGCAGGCAAGATTACACTTGGACGTACGCGACGCTGGTGGCACAACGCGGCTGTGAATATGCACACTGAGGCAGATCGTCGGGATCCTTGGGGTCAAGCCAATCCAGTGAACCGTCCAACTGCTCACAAGATTTACGCCCGTGGATTAGTAGACCTCGCAGTAGCCACGCCACCTCTGCGAGACTCGGAGTTGCCAGAGACACTCGAGCTCGATCGGGCTCGCATTTCCCGTATCCGCGAGGATGCGCTGCGAGTTACTACCATCGGTGGTATACTCCTCACTGCAAAGAACCTGCTCAAACGAGATGTCCGGTCTCAGTGGAAGTCAGAAGCCAGCAAAATGTGGCTAGTTCTCAAGGATGGATACATGAAGGATCCCTCGACGCCATCGAAGATTTCGTCGCTCCTCGAATCATCCCGCAACATGCCCCCGTCCACAAGAGCACAGCTCTCTTCCACAGTCACTCGCTTGCTCACTCAAGCCGAGTCTGGAAAACTGGCTGATCCTGTGTTGAAGGTACTTTTTCAACGCTTGAAGACGCACATTTTCAATCGTGTCTCAGCTAGCAGCTCGGGCGAGCGCGTCAAGGCTGCCAGCACAGCGACGGAGGGCCTGGCTACAACAGGTCTCCCAGAGTTCGGCTCCCAAGTTGCCGAGATTTGCGAGCAGTTGGGCAAGATTGGCGAGGTGGATCGCAAGTGCCACGGCAAATGGTACGAGGAGATTGCGGAAGAGATGGAAAGACTGGGTGTTGAGGGTGAAGAGCTCCGTCGCTCTTCCAGCGCGGAGACTGAGGAATCCGCAGCGGATGCATCCTCTTGATGCTGTCTACTCCTTGTTCTTGTCTGGTATGCTTGCGAATTTGACAGGAACGTCGTTTTTGGTATTATTATGGTCACCCCCGGCATTTTTTCATGGGAACAGGTCGCAAGGCGTTTGGAGGGCGTACTGCATCGACTTTGTGGCACACGCAGCATTTGAATTTGGAGGAACGGGCTTGATACTTGATACAGACAGGATGAAATCTCACTTCTGGGTCCAGTCGATTTCCGACTCGAATGCACACGTTGCCATTCTTCACGTGGTTTATTTCAAACCGAGTACCTGTTTGTTCATGTGTGTGTGTGTGTGTGTGAGTGTGTGTGAGTGTGAGTGTGAGTGTGTGTGTGTGTGTGTGTGTGTGAGTGTGTGTGAGTGTGAGTGTGTGTGTGTGTGTGTGTGTGTGTGTGTGTGTGCGTGTGTCCTGTGACCATGGGGAATGTGGTGATTGTGATCCATTTGTGGACTTTGTTCCTCTTCACAGCACGATCCAGTGTTTGCAACTGGCAAAGATGTCGCCCTGATCTTTGTCTGATCTTTGTCTGACATGTGCATCGCGATCGTAGCTGCCTGCCGTACATTCTAGCCCCGATTGCCATTCCTCAGCTTCCTCCTATTGGCCGCCCGGACACAACTCAGCAACAAACAAAACGCTATTTTTATCAGACCTTTCGACTGCGCTGACTGCACCTGCTCTCCTAAATCCTCGATTTCTGTTTTCAAGGAGGAAAGCCGCAATCGCAGCAAGAACTCGTCGAGCTCGTTTTATTTCGCATCAACAGATTGGACTTGGCCAAGCGAGAGAGTATTCAAGAACGTTGGAAAGGAACAGCAATACCTATTAGCCAAGCCATGGCTCGTGGAAATCAGCGTGACAAGGCGAGGGAGAAGGCCCTCAAGGCTGCAGCTGGGGTTGTATGTTTGCCCTTTCGCCCTCAACACAGAATCACCCTTGGACGTCACTGTGATCCACTTGCCAAATTCCAAAGACGACGATGGTGCTAATGGAATCCTACAGAAACCCAAGAACACTGTATGTTGTTTCCATTTTCTGCCTTGGGTTGCGCATATGTCGGTGTAAGACGTGGTCCCTAGGCTAACATGGCCACATCAGCAATCCGGCACACAGTTTGCCCGCACAAAGGAAGAACAAGCTGCCATTATGCGCGCAAAGCAGGCTGCTGGTATGTGTGCTTCTCTTTTTTTCCTTTCTTTTTGCCCTCTTGCGATATTTTCTTGTCTCCGTCTTTTCCCACAAGATCTGTATTCTTCGAGATATAGGCTGCTGCACGTACTGGCTCCGCTAACAGTTCTTTGCCTGTGACAGCCGAGGCGAAGAGGGCCGCCGACGCCGCCAAGAAATAACATGGTCCTCGTGCTGCTGCACTGTGCTGTCTGTCAGTCAGTCTGTCTGTCTGTCTGTCCCATGTCCGTCAGTCGGCCCCTTGGGCAGCAACAACACAGTCACAGTCGGGTCGGCCCATGCCTCGCATTTGGGTGCGACGAGCTTTGATGGCTTTATTAGCGGCGTTTCTGATTAGATTGACTGGGTAATTGTATTGCGATGGATGCCGTAGGCTTGGATAGCGAATATACCAATTTGTGATTTTTGAAAGGCTGTGACTTCTCGCTCATTCCGCACATGCTGTAACCTTCATGTCCCCCCTCAGCGCTGCGTGTCAGTTCACAACTGTGTTTCTCGTGACGGAAGACGGAATTTAAAAGAAGTGCGATCTCTTGGATCTAGCTCTAATTCTTCAAACATACTGTACAACTTCAGACTAGGCTATTCACCACTTCGCGACCCTGTCACCGCGCATGGTGGTATATTGGTATAATGCGCAAGAAAAAAAACCCCTCCTAGAGATTCCTCCCCAGCAAAACAATAGTAGTGGTATAAAGTACGTGTCAACCTTGCCTCGTCATCTCAAGGCCACGTTCTACACAGCCATTCCCCACCTATGCCTAAACCACTCCCATGTCCCACCAACCAGCCATTATTGAATACCTCTATCACGTATGTTTCGTCGACGAAAGTGCTTATGCAATCATACCAGGGAATCCGCCAAAGTTGTTCACTGCAGCGTTCGCGGGAAAGGAGTTCATGCCGCACAAACACTGGCATGAGCAAGCCTGTCCCTGACCGTCCATGCCTTCACCGGCAACGACCTCAGCACCAGCAGGGGGAGCAACGGCATGAGGCGCTCCAGTTTCGACAGCACCAGCACCACCAGCACCCCCAGCTTCGACAGTGACGGTGGTGGGGGCGGCGGCCGCCCCGGGGTCGACATTCTGGAGAGGCCCAGGAGTGAGGGAGGTACCGTTCGTACTAATGGCGAGTGCCTTGAAGTTGGCCATTGTCTTGTCGCCCGTGGTGGCGGCGTTGATGCTCATCACCATGCCTTTGCCGCAATGGATGCCGTTTTGCTGTTTGCAGTAGAACCCTGGTCCTATTCGTTAGCAGCTATCCTGACCTCATGTGTTATCAGGGCACCAGCGTACAAAGAGGCTCTGTTGTCTCAACAGTCATGTTCCAGGTCACACCGTCTTTGCCCTCGGGATTGGGCTGGAAGCCCGAGTCCATACCTCCGTCCATCTTTCGGCAGGGGTCTTCGAAAGTGGACTGCGTGACGGTGTGGTTCTTCTGCATGAAGACGAACATAACCATGTCGCCGACGGCAGCGGTGATAGATTCGGGAGTGTAGACCAAGGCGGGCGCCATGCCAGTAGCAACGGGCTTGAGACCACCCACAGTGACCTAGGGATGTTACTGAGATGTCCAGATAATCGATCCGCACTATACTTACAGTGTGTGTCATCGGGCCAGCCGCCTCAGCAGGGTGAAGGCTCATGACGTTCATTTGGGCGCCAGCAATACTAGCGGCGACGGGTAGTGCTGCGAAGTACTTCATTATGAGTAGATTTGTCTGATTTGTCTGTAGGAGGTCCTGAGTAAAGAATGTAAACTTGCGCTGCAAGTAATATAAAATATGTCGAGAAACAAAAAGTCTGTCTGAAGTGATGAAGGATTGAATAGGCACTACGAGGGTCGGCTCGGACAGATCGAGGAGAGAAGAATGAATGGAATGAGAGTTAAGAAACACCGGCACCGAGACGATTATGAGGCAAGAAGGTGAATAACGGGTTCATTAGTTGCCTGGGACATCCATTGCTTAAATCCATGCATAGAATTTGGACTCTTGTTGGGCGGCAGACTAGACCACGCCCATGGCGAAACATTACACCCCTCTCTCTGGTCGCTCACCGCAGCAAACGGAAAAACGGCTGCAACAATAGTCAGATTTTGGCGATGTGCACTCGGTTCGAGTGTTGATGGGCGTGGTTCGAAGCCGCAACTGTTGGAGGTGGGTTCGAGAGTGTCGCGGTAGTGTCGCAGATCCGTCTCGCTTCACACTAAGTGGTCCCAGATAGGAAACCCAAGTCACTTTAGCCTCTTAGAACAAGCACATAACCAGTAAGGATGCCTGAAAGGATAGTCTGGGAAAAGCTTTGCCGCATGAAAGAATTGACAGGCATCATCTCGCAACCTGCATTCCCGAGCATCTTGATGCACATGTCGTTGACGATCAGCCACATTTGAGGAGCTAGGCAAAAGGCTTCCTTGCTCTAATTGGCTCATAAGAGCCATCGTAGAGCCTAGCACCATCAACTGTTTCGTCAAGTGCTAGGCATATTTCCAGAAGCACAATTCCCCTGGACATGCCTCCACGAGTCATCGTCTTCTGTGCCGGTTCCTGCTCATTCATTTGGTGCGGCATTCTTGGATACTTGTTGCCGTCCCACGTGCAAGCCGGTATAGTATCCAGCGTAGTACCACGACATCATGATGTTCTTTAGATTTTCATCTTGCACTGTCCAACGTTAGTATCTTCCAGCAGCAGTCAATGACTTCCCCACACTGTCTGGGCCAACGTCTGTCAAGTGGGAAGCATACCTGATCCGAGAAGTGCCTGGGGCATGGAAGCCCCAAGAGGTTCGTTCTGGAGCATGGGAGCCGCGATATTCGGCGGTTGATCCTGCTGGGGCTGGGGCTTTGCAGATTCCGGTGCCTATTTGCGTCAGACTTAGATGTGCAGACTCGCTTTTGGGACCATGTCGTACTTGCTGGGCCTGCACTTGACTCGCACTATGATCTTCTTCGCTGCTTTCAAGTTCCATATCGGCATCCTGATCTTCCGCGTCACCGTTCGTAGTTGCTCTGCTTATGGGCGTCTCGGCCTCTTCCATCAGATGTCCATGGTCTCTGGAAGGGTTTAGTGTCAACCATAAGAGCTATCCGAAAGGCACTTACTCTCGCAATTCTTCTAATTCTTCCTCGGTAAGCACATCTTCGAGCTTCTTGCCAGATTTCTGGATGCTGTGGTACCTCTGCTCACGTGTCAGAAAGCAGGCAAAGACAAGCCTTATAAGCCTTGGAAGCGAAGACAGTGAAGTGCTACCTTGTATTCGGCTACTGCATCATCCCAAGAATTTATCAACAGAGAATCATCCCACGCATTTTTATCGCTTATGTCAATGAAATCTGCAGACATGGCGAAGAACTTTGAGTGGCCAAGATGCGGTGAATAGCAGACCAGAGCAGGGGCTCAAGTAAGTAGAAGACGGCGGAATGCCTTGCCGACGATTTTAGTTGGGGGATCTTTAGGTGAGAATGCAGGCCAAATTGAGCGCTCGAGGAAGCGGTCGAAACTTGTTCTCCTACAGTGATGCTCGCGTGATAGTGGATTGACGGTGTGCATATGTGCCTGTTCCTGGGAGTGAGAGAGTTGGTTCACCTTGGCGAGAGTCGTCCGCTAACGTCAATAGTCAACAGTCAAAAGTTAGCGCGCCTTCCTCAAAAAAAAAGTCGCGGGTCCAAGCTCAAATACCTCGAACTTTTCGAAGCGCGATCTAAGCTGCGCGCCATCGCCCACAGTCACAACAACAATAACAACAACAATAGCTACACGCACACTGGCAACTTCGCGTATACTCAATGGCTGTCGAAGACACCAAGGGCAACAAGAAGCGCAAGGGTAAGTGCCTGCAGCCGATCATCGACCCAGTACCCATTCTAACCATGGCTAAAACAGGCGCACCAGCTTCGTCGCCGAAAGCGAAGAAGGCCAAAAAGTCATCTGAGGACACGGTAGCCACCAAGCCCGTCAAAGCCTCAAAGGGGTCCCCCGCAGTTTTGACGCCTGTTGAGACTAAGACGACCAAGGCCAAGTCTGCGCGCAAGCAAGCAGCTGACTTCATGGACGTTGACGTTGACGTTGACGTTGAGGTTAATGCTGCGCCCGCACCTGTACCCGAAGCTACTGCCCAGACCAAAGCAAAGAAGGGCAAAGCTGCCAAAGACGCCAAAGACACGACTGGCAAGGCGCCCGCGCTCGCTGTCACCAAGACAGAATTCTCTACAGTGGAAGAGAAGTCCAAAGAAAAGACGAAAAAGACGAAGAAAGGAAAGCAAGCTGGGTTCGGTCCTGTCGATGAGGATGAGGCGCCTGCACATCTCACTGTTTCCAAGACAAAATCAAAGAAATACAGGGACGGCAAGCAGGTAGAGACAGACGAAATCGCTGCCGAGGGCGCAACTGAAGCAGACGAGGCAGACGACGATGGCGAGGTGGACGATCAGACTGCTGCTCTCCTGGCCGGTTTCGGCAGCGACGACGATTCAGACGATCCTTCTGAAGACCTGAACTTCGACGAAGATATCGCCGTGCCTAAGCTCAACGCCAAACAGCGAAAAGCAATTGCAAAGGCAGAGCAGGCAGCCAAGTCAAACGAGCCTGGTGTCATCTACGTCGGGTTTGTACATCCTTGAACATTTGTCGCTATTACTATCTACTAACAAGCTCTTCAGTCGCGTACCTCGAGGTTTCTTCGAGAAACAGATGAAGCAATACTTCTCCCAGTTTGGCAAAGTCAATCGCCTGCGTCTTTCCCGCAACAAAAAGACCGGAGCCTCCAAGCACTTTGCTTTCGTCGAGTTCGCCTCCTCGGAGGTAGCAGACATCGTTGCGAGAACCATGGACAACTACCTGTTATTCGGCCACATTCTCAAGTGCAAGCTGCTACCTACGGACCAGGTTCATCCTGATCTCTTCAAGGGCGCTGGGCAGCGCTTCAAGGTTGACCCTCGCAATAAGAAGGTTGGTCTCGCCATGGCGCGCGGTGCGGAGCGCCCAGAGTGGGAGAAGCGGGTTGCCGCAGAGAAAATGAAGCGGTCGCGAACAACTAAAATGCTGAAAGACGAACTTGGCTATGAGTTCACTCCCCCTTCGTTGAAGAGTGTCAAGGATGTTCCAAAGCCGACCTCGGATGTGGAGGACAAGGTCCAAGAACAACTTTTCAAGGAGGCACCCGTTGCGGAGCAGATCACAACTAAGAAAGGAAAAAAAGGAGCCAAAGCAACGCCCAATACCGTGGACGAGGCCAGCGGCACAGTTGAAGCGGCTCCTGAGTCAGTCGAACCCCTCGCGGGCAAGAAGAACAAGAAAGATAAGAAACGAAAGTCTGACGTTGCTCTCGAGATAACAGCTGAGGAAGCAGTCCCTCTACAGGCAGCTCTGAAAAGTAAGAAGGCTAAGAAGGATGCAAAGCTCGATGTGGTCATAGAGGAGACGAAGCCTGAGGTCACCTCAAAGCCCAGGAAGGCTAAGAAGGTTAAAGCATGAGGTGTATTGGACTTACCACCACGAGGGAGCGTCCACAAGTTCTTTTACAAGAATGTGGAGAATCAAAAGGCGTTTGTGCGTAGCGTATGAGTCTTGTCACTGTATCCCCAGATTGAGTGACGGAATATTGCTACTCAGGCATTTCACTCTGAGCATTCAGACAGTCGGAATACCTCTAGCTCGTATGTTAGCAGCTGCCATTACATATTTTCGGATGTTGCAATCTTCATCCTCTGTGTCCTCCCAGCCATTCATGTGTTCAGCATGCGCACACAGTCTTGAAACGGGGGCTATTCCGTTCTTCCAACCTTCCTATTCGTAACACCCAGTGCTCAATTACCTGTCTTCACGACTTGCTTTCTCCACGCGCGGGGCGCATTTAAGAAGAGAGGTCCAGACTCTGTCCAGGTGGCGTGAGATTACCCTCTAGGCACAATCATACGAGTACAGCATCTTTGCATGTTGGTTGTGGCAGAAGTTAAGCGAATCGGACGGCTGGCTTCTGATCTGGCTTCAGGGCCTGATTGGTCAAACTTCGTTAGGAAGAAGAGCCCGCTGTATTGTGCCAACTCAAATGCCAGAAGTGTGGTGATTTACTTTGAATCCTTGGAACTAGCCATGGTTGCCGGTGTGCGGAGTGGTTCTGTGGAGTGATGTCGCGTGCTTGGTAGTATCCGATTTCACGCGAAGGTCATTAGATCGGTTCGGTATAAGGATGGGATGAGCCCACTTGTGAAAGATTTGTTCTTTTGTTTTGTTCACTGATCGCACAGAAACAAGAAAACTTTTTTTCGTCTGATTCCCAGGATATTACCAATAGTATTGAGTGCCGCAGACACAGTGGCGAGTCTACGCCATGGACAACTCGCCTAACCCTGACGTCACCTCTTCTCTATCAACGATCAAGACGGCACCGACCTGTGACCAGACTGGCACACAATCCTCCATGAAGATAGATTCGGCCATACCAGCGAAGCCCCAAGACCAACCACAGACCCAGTCCAACTCATCAAGTTGGCAACCATCAGGCTCACAAAGCCATCCATGGCTGTCGCCACACACATCCGAGGAGCAAAAACATGCATGGCATACGAGTTTGTTGGGTATGGGCTCGAGGAGAGTGGAGGATAATTGGGGGTTCCATAGTGCAAGTGTTTCGAGGGAACATAGTCCTTTTCGGGGAAAGTAGAGCGAGAGCGAGAGACGAAACAAAGTGAGACCAATATGTACATTGTGAAGGGATGGGTGGTATCGAGAATCCGTAAGCGGGCAGCTAGATGGGTTGCCTCACATGTGGAATTTCCCCGTAAATAGGATTTGCCAATAGCATTGAATTGCACAAGAATTGTAATACGTCTAGAGCGTGTACGTATGATGACCGCCTGATATGATTTCTACGCCCGGATCCGATTCGATTGCTAGCCACATGCCACCTTTTACTTTCTGTACCACATCCTCGTGATTTTGGTATGCCTCATCTTCTTCTGCAATTGGAAAATGCCGTACATGAGCGCCTCTGCAGTTGGGGGACATCCCGGTACGTAAATGTCAACGGGTACGATCCTGTCGCAACCTCTTGTGACCGAGTAGCTGTAGTGGTAGTATCCTCCCCCGTTGGCGCAGCTGCCCATGGAGATGACCCATCGCGGGTCGGGCATCTGGTCATAGACTTGGCGCAGTGCCGGAGCCATCTTGTTGGTGAGGGTGCCGGCGACGATCATGACATCGGATTGTCGCGGGGAGGCACGGAAAATGATACCAAGACGATCCTGGTCATACCGCGGGGTGGACAAATGCATCATCTCGACGGCGCAGCACGCGAGACCAAACGTCATGGGCCACAGTGAACTCTGACGCGCCCAGTTGGCGACTTGATCCAGTGTGGTACTATATTAATCCGTGAGTTAGCGAACATGAGCACAGGCATGAGCATGGGACGTCCTCGTAGCCCTAGGTTGCTTCTATACGCAATCCGAGGGAGCCAAGGAGAGAGAGAGAGAGAGAGAGAGGTAGGAGAGGTGTGACATACAGCGCGTATTGCATGGCACCCTTCTTCCCCTCCTGGCTCGGCAATGGCACTTCCCGCCGCGCCTGCTTCATGGGTGGCGGTGCGCCCAGATTGCCAGGCACAATGGCAGGCGACTTGGAGGCCGTTGCCTTGTCCGAAGAACTCGATGAGAGGAAGGCGAGGTTTCCGGCAGCGGCGCGTAAAGGCATAAGTGCGGTCGCAGGTCTCGCTGTGGACAGAAAAGTTAGCTTCGCGGGCAGCTGGCGTTCCGGGCGGCCATGACGAACCTCGCAGGGCCATTGAGGCCGCAGACCTTGTCGTCGACAGCATTCTTGGTGACAGACAAAGGGTGAAATTAACGACAGGGGGGAAGAAGGAAGGAAAGGAGTGGAGAGGTGGAACGTGGGGTGGCGGACGGGGGTGCGACTCTAATCGTGAGGTCACGGGCAAGTTGAACAGAGGCGTGGCGTAGTGTACAGTAAGTAGGTAACAAGTAATTCCGGAGGCGCATGCCAAGCCTCTCGATTAGTTCGCCCATTTCACGGCTCCTTCATTGGCCGAGGCGGTGCCCTTTCCAAGGTTGCCCTAAACCCCCCCCCCCCCACCATCACCTGTCCGGGGTAGAAGAGTCGGTAGAGGCGTTGAGTGTTCTTCACTTGTCCCCGACGCTTTTGATTTCAAGTGATATGCAACACCATGACAGGCAGGTGAGAGCCATAGAGCCAGTGCTCACACTTCTGCGTCGTGTACACTGACAACGTCAGAGTGCCTTCAATCGCGTGTATAGGGGTGATTGGCAAACACGTGAGTTGCATCCATGTTCTATTGACTACCATACATTTCTTCTGACGACCGTCATAGAATAACCCATTGCATATATCCCTCTTCCCGGCAGAGGAACGAGCTCCCTTGGAGTTCCAGTTTCTGTTGTCATCATGTCTCGACATCTTCGAGGCTCGCCTTCCTCACAAGACGGCAGACCAAGACTTCGGCCTTCTACAAGCTGTCGACGAGAGATTAGCCATGTACGGCTGGTTGACAAACACTGGAGTCAAGTTCGTCATTGTTGTGGATATGGAGGGTAGGCCTGCAACGAATCTAGACAGCAAATCAGCGACGGCTGTTGGACTGCGAGACGCGGATGTGAAACCAGTGAGTGCGTCTGAATAATGGAAAACGACAGACTGTTGACTCGTTCAGGCTTTCCGAGCCTTGCAAACAGCATATATCATGCTGCTGTAAGTTACGCCCCAATTGGACAAGTGGACACGCTTGAGAGCTATGTACTGACTTCATTCAAAGGAGAAATCCATTCTATGACCCCGCAGAGCACTCGCCTGTTGCTGCCAATGTCGAGCAAAGAATTGGGTCAACTCAGATCACCAGCCGGAAATTCATACGAGAAGTCAAGAGGATCGCTGATACTTGGTACCCTGGTGTTACCAATATCTGACCAACATTTGTCAAACTGTCTCGCACATTAACATGATGCATCAGCTGGCGTTCTTTCAATTAATCTTGTATTGAGGTTTTCTTTGCGATACAGATTATCTCCATACAACTAGCTTTCTTCGACATGTACCATGGTCCGAATGATCATTGAGACCTCTTCAACCAATCAAACACACTAGCCCCGATTTGAGTCTAGTTCACTTCATAGGTCGATCGGCCATATGTAGGGAACTTCGAGTTCAAGTCACCTCCAACTTTGTTCTCACGAATCAGTGCTTCTCAATGTCTTCAACCGGTGTGACCATCACAAATCCCCTCGTACTCTATCGCAGTCTCGTCGCTACTCAAAAGATCCGCCCCGATCCTGCGCAACATCGCCTTGGTATGCATGACGTCTACCATTTCGTGGGTGCCAAGAGTATATTCATGCGCTGATTCGCTCGCAGCTTTACATCTGCAGAAACTGTATGAGCGCCTCATTGACTATGAGCCGACCGTGGAATACTCGAAACGACTGCAACAACTGAGTCGAGCGGTAGATGGCCATAGTTCACCGTCCCCATCTGAGAATCCCCATGTCAATCGGTTCGGCCGACAGGGTGTATGGACGTCGCTACTGGCCCAAAAAGAGAAAAGGGACTCGTTGGCTCTGACAAGAGTCCTGACCGACCATGAACAGGCTATGCAACTGCAGAGTCCGAAAGGCTTCATGCTTCACGGCGAAGTAGGCACGGGTAAGTCCATGTTGATCGACCTTTTCCAGGAATGTCTTCCCAATCGCAAGAAGCGGCGATGGCATTTCAATACCTTCATGTTGGATACGATCTCGCGTCTAGAACAACTTCGTAGGTCTCAGTCAGTACTAGCTGGGCATGGCCCAGCGCAGGACGAGTACTCGCTGCTACTTGTTGCACGTGATCTTATCGAGAAGTCACCAATTTTATTTTTGGATGAGTTCCAGTTACCTGATCGTGCGGCATCTAAGATTCTGTCGAACCTGATGACTTCGTTCTTCCAGCTTGGAGGAGTTCTCATCGCCACTAGTAATCGCATGCCCGAAGAGCTAGCCAAAGCTGCGGGTATGGACTTTGCACGTCCCGTGAACAGATTGAGTAGACTGGGTTGGAGCATGGGGAAAAACTCAGTAGGCAGAAGGGATGACGGGGCTGGCCAGTTGGGGGAATTCTCCGCCTTTCTAGAAGTCCTACGAGCGAGATGTGAGGTTTGGGAGATGGAAGGCAAAAGCGATTATCGAAAGATTGAAAGAGAAGAGGCAGTTAGAAACGTGAGCGTGCAGGCTCCGTCATTTGAGAACATCTCGTCTTCCTCGGCAGTACCGAGCATGGCGCTATCCACTCTTCAGCAAGACGAGACTGTCGATGCCAAAACGGCGGATGCAATGGAGCCCTCTTCGACCATTGCGGTACCAAAGAACTACCTGATACAACCCACCACGGCCGAGGAAATGGTCCCGTTCGCCGAGTCATTCAACACTCATGTCGAGCGTGCCACTCAGCATTCATACCCCATCCCCTGGGAGCCTGCTACGGTGCGCGTCTACGGCCGTACTATCCATGTCCCCGCTCAGTACAATAACGTTGCCTTTTTTACCTTTGAAGAGCTCTGTGGTGCTACCCTCGGCCCAGCAGATTACATTACCCTCACTTCGACATACCATACCTTTATCCTGACCGACGTGCCCATTATGGGCTTCTTGAATAAGAATGAGGCAAGACGACTCATCACTTTGCTAGACGCCATGTACGAGGCACGATGCCGGCTTCTTGTCGTCGCCGTCACAGGACCAGATGATCTATTCTTCCCTGAACCCCCCAAATCCACATCGAATACCGATGCTTCCTTTACAGACGCGTTGACTGAAGACGCAGTACACAGCGAAACCTTTTCCGAAATCTACCAAGACTTGAACTCCCCCTTCCGACCCAACATCGCATCCTATGGCTCTGGTTCATCGCTCTCCGACGATGCACTTGAAGACGACCCTCCAAATCGTACGCGCCGCGAAGGGTCTTCGTGCACGGATGAACGGTCTGCCAGAATGGAAAGTAAGGCGCCTGATTTTGCCAATATCAGAGGGTTGACGGGAGAAGACGAGGTGTTTGCTGTCAAGAGGGCTGAGAGTAGAATCTGGGAGATGTGTTCGGGGAGGTGGTGGGATCGTGCTGGGAATGGTTCTGAAACCGTGACTGAGAGGGCTGGGTTGGGTGAAGGGTCAAACACGGATTGGTGGCGCCCTCTACCCATAGAGTCGAGGCATTGGGAGTGCGGCATCACTCCCGATATCAGCTCCAGTTCTCCACCCCATGCGGCTTCATCTGCAGTAGCAGAAGGACTACCTCCCAATGTCAAGATTCTGTCGAAGGAGGAGCTGAAAAAGGACAAAGAAAGGGACTTAGACGACATGTTTGCGCATGGGGCCAGTCCATTCAGAACGCACCCGGATGCGCCGCCGAAATTCAGCTGGACACATGCTTGGGGCATGATGACATGGGGCAAGAAAGCCGGCGCCTGGGGTCAAGGCCCAGAAGGCTTGAGAGGGAGGGGAAAGGAAAGAGAGGAGGAAGAAAGTGAGTCACAGACCAAAGGTCAAAAGGAGAAGAAGTAGACAAGTTAGCGAGTCTTTGGCGACTAGGAACCTAGTAGAGCTCTTTGGAGATAGGATGAAGTCTACTCAAACCATGGGTCTAGTCATTGAATCTTGCCCTTGTTGACAACAAAAGCCTCCATGGCCGAAATGGCGGCCCACAGTCTATTTTCTGCCTCTCTGAAGACGACACTGCGTGGTCCATAGAAGACCTCATCTGCCACCTCTTCTGGATGGCGGGGTAGACAGTGCATGAACGACCAGTTTTCCTTGGCACCTCCGCGCGTCGCAAGGTCCGACGTGATCTGGAAACCCGAGAATGCTTTGAGGCGCTTGGCCGATTCCTCTTCTTGACCCATAGACACCCAGGTGTCTGTCACGAGGATATCGGCACCTTTGCACGCTTCTTCTGGCACTGTAGTTTCGATCAGTCGGCCAGCACGGGGAGAGGTGGATGCAGCGTGATTGATGACTTGGCGCATAGCAGCAGGGATCTCATAGCCTTTTGGGGTGGCAACAGACATATCCACGCCCAACTTCATGGCACCGATGGCTAGATCAAACAACACATTGTTCGCATCACCTATCCAGGCAATCTTCATGCCTTCTAGACCAAGCGAGGTAGACGACGAAGACGGATTGATCTCGGTGATGGTGAGGAAGTCGGCGATGGTTTGGAGGGGGTGATAGAGGTCGGAGAGGGCATTGATGACAGGCACGGCCGAGTGTTTGGCCAGGTCAGCAACGTCGGAATGGGGGCCAACGCGGGCGACAATGGCGGCCGTCATGCTAGAAAGGACGAGGGAGGTGTCATAGAGAGATTCGTTGACCTGGGCCTTTGTCAGTCGCAGTAGGGGGTTAGGTAGCAGGATCGAACCACAAAAGAGGACTGGGGTAATTGCGGGGGAGGGGAGGGGGACCAGTACACCTAATTGAATGTCATCTTTGCCCAGGAACATGGGAGAACCGCCCATTGCGGCAATGGCGCCTTCAGTCGATACACGGGTGCGCGTACTCCGCTTGCTGAAGGTCATGGCGACCGTCTTGCCTGCGAGAGCGCCGCGCAGGGTGTGGGGCACCTCGCCCGTCGACTTGATGGCTGTTTTGTGCGAGGCAGCATTTCGCACGAGGCTGGTGAGCTCGGCGGGAGTGAGGTCTGCAACGGAGAGCAGATGGCGCGGCGCGAAGGGGGAAGTTTGCGGCGTCGCGGGTGAGGTCGAGGACGAGGATGCGGAGTATCGGCGCAAGCTTCGTAGAGCTGCAATAGACGGGCGGAGGAGTGGGGGCATGGTGTGATTGATTGGTATGATTGGTGTGAATTGACTGGAGTCTGGGGGGGGGGGGGGGTGCAGGTGGTCGAATTGACCTCCTCGCCTGTCGACACTGGGTGTTGTTAATTATCGGGAGCGCATGCCCTCACGGTTCGTGGCTTTACGTAGGCGTAGAATGTCTATGTACCAAAATCCGATAACGGGCCTATAGCTACATAGTATCTCCGGTGACGGACGGGTATTGTATTCTTACATGTTGTAAACAGTGGTATAGAAAAGACTAGAGTTACCTAGCCTAGCTAGTGCTACTCTAGCGAAGGAAGGGTTCAATGACTCGGTGGCTGTGGCTGAGCTGAGTCTGAGCTGAGGCTGAGCTGAGTCTGAGCTCCCTTGCCCTGCCTTTCCCGGAAGGCCCAGGCTAAGATGACGAAGCCAACCACCAGCAGCTGTTGTCCAAGTACCTCGACCACCTCCACCTCCACCTCCACCTCCTCCACCTGGCCGGCTTGCCAACAAAACCCTTGTCGGCCCATGCACTCCGCCAACAGCAACAGCAACGGCAACTTCAACTTCATCTCATGTCCCTTCAACTGCGCGACCCCATCGCCATCTCGCGGCAACGCATGACGCCCTGAACTGCTTCCATCGCCCGCCTAGCTTCCCGTTCCCCGTTGTCCTCCCCTCCGTTCCCCCCACCCCACAATTCATAAATTCACAACTCACAACTCACATCTCACCTCCTACACCTCCTACACACTACCATGGAGACGCCTGAGGCAACGTGGGGCTCAACCCGCACCCCTAGTTCGCAACCCGCCTCCCACCCATCCACGCGCTCCTCGCCCTCGCCCTCATCGCGTTCCCACCAGTCAAGCCGGACGACAGAGCAGACGCCGCTGCTTGCCCAAGATGACCGAAGTGACCATGGCGAGTCAGACACCGAGCAGCACACACCCGCCGCCCGCTCGTTGTTGCGCACCCTGAGCGGCTCGTCTGGGAGCGGCAGCAAGGCCCCGCTGTGGAAGAGGCGGTGGCCGAGCCTGCTCGCACTCGTCATGCTGTGTCTGCTTGTCATAGCCATCCTGCTCGGATTCCTGGCCACAGAGGGGATCGAGGAATACGCCATGCAGGCCGCCGACTTCCAGCCCACCAAGCTGTCGCTGGACGGCTTGACAGACCACGGCGCCCAGATCCATGTCGAGGGAGACTTCAGCATGGATGCGTCAAGAGTGCAGAGGAAGAGTGTGCGCAATCTGGGCCGCTTCGGAACATGGATAGCCAGAGAGGTCGAGAGCGGGCCAACCGATGTCGATATTCGGCTTCCAGAGTACAGCAATGTGCTCGTGAGCACCGTCCAGGTGCCGGGCCTCAAGGTCAGCATCCGAAACGGACACACGACCCATGTTACTTTCGTTGCCACGCTGCAACCCGGCTCGCCTGAGGGGATTCGCAATGTTGCCCACGACTGGATTCATGGCCGACTACACGAGATCAAGGTCAAGGGCAAAGCTACCGTTCCCCTCAGGTCCGGCCTCATCAACATTGGCAGGCAGATGGTAGAGCGGTCTATGGTCTTCCAAGGAGCTGATGTGCCAACCCTGCCGCATTACAACATCACAAAGTTGAACTTGCGCGAGGCCAAGCACGGCCGGAAAGGCTTGGGCGCCGATGCCTCGCTCGTCGTCACAAACGACTTTCCCCTCCAAATCACCCTTCCACCTGTCGCCGTCGACGTGCTCATTGATGGATGCGCTCCATCGGACAAACACATCATGGTGGGAACAGCCGAGACGGGCGAATTGAGAGTGAGACCAAGATTGCCGGTCCACATCGACGTGACGGGCAACGTGGAGAAGCTTTCGGAGCCCTTGACTGAGGTTTGTCCCAACTCGGCCAAGTCTCCACTGGACGCCTTTCTGGGCGACTATGTCAAGGGCGAGGATGCGACCATCTACATAAACTGCTGCAAGTTTCCTGATCCAGCGACACCCGCTTGGGCTCGCGACTTGCTACAGGACATCACCCTTCCCGTGCCCTTTGCCGGCCGCGATATGGGTAACCTGATTAAGAACTTCTCGCTCGCCCAAGTGCACTTCTCTCTGCCGAGTCCGTGGGCTGAGCCAGGAACTCCAGACGCTTCGCCCAAGATTTCTGCCATCGTCAAGGTAGATATTGGGCTGCCACACGAGATGAATTTTCCGCTCCATGTCAACCAGGTCAAAGCGGATGCGGACATCTTCTACCACAAGAAGCTGCTTGGAAAGCTAAATTTGGACAAATGGCAAAAGGCCAACTCGACAAGAATAGAAGGTCAAGGTTCAGAGGGCCCTCTCTTGCTTGTTGAATCGGACATTAGAGAGGCACCCATCGATATCCTCGATGACGACCTGTTCAGCCAAGTGGTACAGGCTCTGCTCTTTGGTGGCAAGCCCGTGTTTATGGATATCAAGGCTGCTGTCAGTGTGGGGATAGAGACTCCCATGGGTAAACTCGCCGTACGAGACATTCCCGCACAGGGGGTCGTACCAGTCAAACGTTCGTAACCAGTTCGTGGTCCATGTTCGTCCACCATGCAACACAACTGCTAATCTCTGCCATGCAGCAATTCGGGGCGGTGGCAAAGGCGACAAAGGCGACGATAGTGGAAGCAAGCTCAGCGGATTGAATCTCGGAATCGGAAACCTATCCATTGTGGACACGTCGCCGACTTCGATCACGCTGCAAGCCTATGTGAATCTGACGAATCCTACGAATTATTCGGCGACAGTGCCCTATTTCGACATTAATATATTGGTCAATGAAACACATATCGGACATGCTACTGCGAGGGATATCGAGATTCATCCTGGGAACAATACCAATCTGTTGGTGTCAGCTGTCTGGGATCCCATGACCAACGGAGGCGCAAAGGGCAAGCAAGTGGGCGCAGAGCTACTCTCACAATACGTTTCGGGTACCTACGCCATTTCATGCTCACTGTGGGTGAGGAAGCCATACTAACATGTCTTGTCAGGTTTCAACACGTCCGTGACCCTTCAAGCCCACAATGGGACCATACCCGCCCAGCCTGGCCTAGGAAACCTCCTCTCCCATTTCCCTGTCACCCTCCCAGCCCCTCATCTCTCCACGCCCAAAGCACCCTCGGATGACCCAGATGAGCCGTCGGAGCCAGAAGACGACGGAAAATCCCACTTCATCCATGATGCAACGATGCACCTCATCACTTCGACAGCCATCTTCACCCTGGCCTCCCCCTTCTCCGCAACCACCTTGTACATCACTAGACTCAACGCCACGGCTTACTACGACGGTCAGCCCTCTGGAAAGATACTGTACGAATTGCCATTTGCCGTCCCCCCTGGATTAAGTGAGACACCCCGACTGCCGGTGGAGTGGTCTTTGGGATCCGTAGGATACGGAGCGATCAAGCAGGCGTTGGGGGGCAAGTTGAAGCTGAGTGCATTTGCACATGTGGGGATTAGGATTGGGGAGTGGCGAGAGAGCATCTGGTTCAAGGGCGGCCAGATTGGGGCGAATGTGAGGCTATAGCGATGAATGTGAGGCGATAGCGACAACGTTTACAAAGCTGGTGATGAGAAGGATAGAGGTGGCATGTCTTTTTTTTTGGCATCTATGCAGCCTACCGATATCACGGCTGAGCTTTCTCCTTGTATCCATGACGGAGCAGCAATAACAACAACGGGGGTGAAGTACTGGCATTTTTGGTTGTTTACAATACTACAGAGTTCCGCATCCTTACTCTACTGTGCAAACTGTATTATTTCTTCTTTCTTTTTCTCACCCTTACCTTGACTTTTGCAGAGACGATCCCAACTTCCCTTGGAGTACATGCCTTACTCTACTAGTACATGTAGTAGTACCATGGTCCCAGCGACAGGAGTGCTGTCTACTAACGTGTGCGGGGGGGTGGACGTGCCGACTCCGGTCGCCAAGGCCAAGAAATAGTGGGGGTCCATCGCCCGAACCGGTCAAGCGCTTCCTCGACCAATGCCACCTACGGATCGTCGTGAAGTTGATTTTCCTCAGTGTCGAGAAAAGTCGCAATTTGCAAAGCAGCTCAACTGCGCGGCCGTAACATAAAAGACACACCCAGAGGCAGCTCTACAAATCAAATGGCACCTTTCATCACCTTGGCCACCTCGGCCACTTTTGTCTGCCCTTTGCTCTCACATGTTGATGGCACTATTACGGCGTTGGTGGGCGGGACATGACAGCTCAATCGGTGTAATGTCGTCCGCAAACCGAGGGTGGAGCAGCAGAGCCGCGAAACCCACATGGGCAGCACTACCTTTCGTCATTCTAAGAGCCATCTTCCCTTCAGACTTTGGCGCTCCACTGTTCCACCCCCCAACACTCTCTCTTCACATAGCACTCCGGATAAATCACTTTGCACCAGCGCGACGCGCAACATGTTGTTGTAACCGGTTTTCGAGGTAGGCAGCACTCTCTCAGGAAATTCTCCGTTGTCCGTTGCGCGGCCGTTCAGTTGGACTAACTTGGAGGCTGCTGGCTTCTCAGGCTTGAGCCTCAGCAGATGCATTGAGCACTATTTCCTTCAAAATCCATCTTCCCTGTACATTTACGCCACTCTTACTCTCCTTCAACTGGAAACGAAAGACTTGCTAGAGTATATCTACGACGGTCCGACCGTCAATCCTTCCTCCCCTCCCCTTCTCAAGACATAGATCCTAGGTCATCATGGCTGCCCGACGAGGAAGTCGCTTCATCAAGCCGCTGCTTTACACGGCTGGTGCGGGCGCACTGGGTGTCTCAGCACTATACGTCACATTACGTCCTCGCGATATCCCCGGCACCGAAGCCGCTGCCGTCCCTCCTCCCACCTATGGCGAGGGTGGCGTCTTCCGCCCACCAAAGTTCCCTGTTGCAAAGAGTCGCGACGAGCAGATTGCCGACTTGAAGCGCAGCGCGGGGATCGTGGGCAAAATCTCAGAAAAGTCCAGGCGGCTATTTGGTGGCAGCTCTGTGGAAGAGGCAGCGGAGAAGCCAGAGAGTGAGCCTTATGATTTGTTGGTGATTGGTGGTGGCGCTACAGGGACAGGTATTGCGCTTGATGCTGCCACACGAGGTCTAAAGGTCGCTCTGGTTGAGCGTGATGACTTCAGCAGCGGTACTAGCAGCAAGAGTACCAAGTTGGTGCACGGAGGAGTACGATACCTCGAGAAGGCCGTGTGGAACTTGGACTATAACCAGTCAGTATCCTCGAAAGCCGTCAGCATGTGGCCAGATGTGTCAGGGGTGCTAAGTTATTGATTGCAGATACGCCCTTGTCGTCGAGGCGCTTCGCGAACGTCGTTACTTCCTGGACACCGCACCCCATCTCTCACAATGGCTACCAATTATGATTCCGCTTCAGAAGTGGTGGCAAGCCCCCTATTTCTGGGCGGGCACAAAGTTTTACGACTTGCTCGCTGGCAAGGAAAACATTGAGAGCTCATACTTCTTGACCAAGAGCAAGGCTCTAGATGCATTTCCCATGCTGAAGAAGGAAGGTCTGCTTGGAGCTTTGGTATACTACGGTGAGTGGTGGAGAAAGTTGCGTCACAATGGGAGGCTGACTAAGAGCAGATGGTGCACACAACGATTCCCGCATGAACGTGTCCCTTGCCATGACAGCCGCATTGTACGGCGCAACTGTCGTCAGCCATGTCGAGGTCACTGGCCTGGAAAAGGATGCTAACGGTAAGCTCTGCGGTGCACGCGTTAGGGACTGCATACCCGAACTGGATGGCAAGAAGTCCGAGGAGTTCAACATCCGGGCCAAGGGCATCATCAACGCCACTGGACCTTTCACAGACTCCATTCGGAAAATGGACGACCAAAAGGTTGAAGAAATTGTCGCACCCAGCTCTGGTGTTCACGTCATTCTCCCTGGATACTACAGCCCCGCCAACATGGGACTCATTGACCCCAATACTTCTGATGGGCGTGTCATCTTCTTCCTACCCTGGCAAGGGAACACAATCGCAGGCACCACAGACACTGGCTGCGAAATCACCAAGGACCCTGTCGCTGGTGAAGATGAAATCAATTGGATTCTCAATGAAGTTCAGCGCTACCTCCAGCCCGAAATCAACGTCAGGCGCGGCGACGTATTGGCTGCATGGTCTGGTATCCGTCCCTTGGTCCGCGACCCCAAGGCTAGCAAGACTGAAGGTCTTGTCCGCAACCACCTCATCACGACGTCCCCCTCTGGATTGCTCACCTGTTCCGGCGGCAAGTGGACTACGTATCGCCAAATGGCGGAGGAAACAGTGGATGAGGCAATCAAAGAATTCGGGTTGGAAACCAAGTCCATCACTAACGCCACCCTTGTTAGCGGTACACACGTCAAAGACGAACTTCCCCTCGACGGAAGCTGCCAAACACATCGCGTCCGCCTTGTCGGCGCCCATGGCTTCTCGAAAACCCTCTACATCAACCTCGTTCAACATTATGGCCTCGAAACTGATGTGGCCAAATACCTCTGCCAGGCCTACGGCGACCGTGCGTGGACAGTTGCCGCGCTCTCCGCACCAACAAATGCCCGGTTCCCTGTTCGCGGCAAGAAGATTTCACAGCTCTACCCCTACATTGATGGCGAGGTGAGGTACTGCGTACGTCACGAGTACGCACAGACGGCTACAGATGTGATTGCCCGTCGTATGCGTCTTGCGTTCCTTAACGCACAAGCTGCCCTCGAATCTCTTCCTACTGTCATCGACATTATGGCGGAAGAACTCAACTGGTCCAAGTCGCGCAAGGAAAATGAGTGGAAAAACTCAGTCGCTTACTTGGGTTCCATGGGTCTTCCCAAGTCCAAACTTACACTTACGAGGAAGGATGTGGAGAGTGGGCATGTAGGCAAGTATGCGGATGAGGACTATCAGCTTTATGCTAGACATGGTAAGTTACGTTCCGACGAACAGTCCTGTGGCGATTTGTTTGCGTTTGGGATCAGGCTTAACGAGGTGTTTGCAGATAAACCGGATGAGTTGTTGGAGAGCGATTCAAAGTATCCAAAGGGAACCAATCCGATGATTCAAGATGAAAGCCGGGCGAATAAATAGAGGTTTTTTTTTCCTGTTTTCATTTCCTGGTGGGGGCATAGTACGACATAGTGTGTGAATAGATCGGTGACAGAGGGGGCTATGTGTATTGTTATGCAGTTGGCCGACAAGATAGGGATGAAGTCTCAACTTCAACTTCAAGCCAGCGCGGCGTTTTGATGCGAGTATGCTGCTATTGTTCGTATATAGGATTAACCAGGTGCTGTGAAAAAAAACACTTTCTGATAGACAGAATTGACAAGTATCTTTCGGGCTTGCTGTGTTGCTAAGTCATGGTCCTTCTTATTATTCTCACTAGAGATCATTAAATATCACCCTTGAGTACTCAATTTCCTCTGGTCAATACGTGGGAACACCTGCAAGTGCACGTAGGAAACTATGTTCTCCAGTCCTTGCTGTAGTACATCTCGCTGTGTGCAACATGAAATCTGGGGAAGCGTTAAAGATTTCATAAGACACTGAACCAGTAAAAAGAGTGTAGAAACATTGTATGTGTTATAAGAGATGTACAGGACCGTTTGCGAATCTGAACCCTTTCAAATACTTATCGTTGCTGGCTATGGTAATTTAGACGACTGTTGCCTTGCCAAACTCGACATTGGCATAATGTAAACAGTGTCTCGATTACCTGCACAACCTCTGGTTCTATTCAGCTGATATTTAGTCCCTGATAAAGATACTCGATGGGTTAATTTCTTTTCATTTTATCGGGATCTTGACCAAGAACTATTGATCACTGTCAATGAAACTGTGGTCGCCTAACACAAAAATTGCAACTTCTTCAAGCCCTGTACCATGGTTTCCGACTTTCACATGGTTTATAACACAGCGAACTGCATCGGCTAGCGTTATTGACTGCGTAGTGACTATGACAAGGGCTGGACTAAAAGCGCGTGTCGGTAATGAGAACATGGCTCAAAATCCTAGCGTGGAGCTTTACAGTAACCACAGAATCTTGCTGCAAGCTTCATAGTGTGAATTTCCATCGTTCTAGATCTGAGTGGTAGGAAATTCAAAGTGCAGCAAGTGCAGTATCACTGGGGAGGCAGTTCAGGCCAGACCAAATCACGTGTTGATTGCGTGATAACGTGATCCACCACCGAGCGCCCACCCCCACCGAGCGCCCACCAACACTAAAATCCACCACCCACTAAATAAGGATATTACGCCACCTATAATAGCTATTATTATAAGATTTTTTAGAGTTATAATTATTAGATCTATTAGAGTAGATTAAATATTTTAGATTATAACGTGATCCACCACCAAGCGCCCACCCCTACTAAGCGCCCACTAACACCAAAATCACCAAATTTTCAACACTAAATTTCTTAATAACTATAGCACCTATTAACAACGCGCTTGTAGCAATTAAATCCTTAACTCTTAGAGAAGATTTTATATACTTAGAAATAGTAGAAAAGTATAGTTACTTATAGTTAACCTTATCTAGATACTACTAGAAAATTTAGTAGGTATATACTGTAACAATAAGGCAGAATTGCCTGCCTATTATTCTATGCCAAGTTAGGCCTAATAAAGGCCTGACTTACTAATATATATAGAGAACAGCTCGCCTATAGTTAGGATAGGTATATTCTTCTTATCCTTTTATATAAGACCTATAGGTGTAGGAATCTTATCCTTTTCTATATAGACGCGCACTCCTATATACCTTTAAGTTATATAGGATACCTTTTAGATGCCCTACCTATCTAAGTTATTATATTATAAGAAGAATATTATCCTAGCTAGTAATAGTATTTAAGAATATTGCATTTATTATTATTTTAAGCTACTAATTTAGTTCTAGTAGCTACCTAACCCTATAACTCTATAGTTAGAATAGCTATTAGAACTTCTAACAACTAAAGCCTATAGGCTTAGACTTCTAGACCTATAGGTAGTGCTAGATTACCTTTAGAAAAATCGCGTTAGATTACGTTAAGGTAGAGACCTAGAGACTACTAAAAGCCTAGAGGAATTAGAGGCAAAGCTAATATCCTCCTATAACTAAACCCCCTAAAGAAAAGATTTATTATTCTTATTAACTATAAAATATTAGATAAAGGTAAAGGAAGGGTATCTAGTTTAGCTACTTTTAAAAGCCTATTTACTAATAGAAAGAAATTAGATAAGGAAGACTTAATTAATAACGCCCTCCTTAAAGGACCTGCTTCCTATCTATCTCTTAAGGTACCTTATGCTCCTAGGAAATCTTAAAGTAATACCTCCCTTAAAGATAAATATATATTAACCCTATCTAAAAAGGAGAGGTTAGAGGAATAAGTTAAGTAACTTACTAATTAGTTATATAATACCTCCCTTTATAAGGAGATATAGGGTACTACCTAACCTAGCTAGTCTTTAGCTTCTATATTAAACCTTATAGTATATACTATAAAAGCTAAGAGATAATCTAAAAAGACGCTAAATATCTCTATACTTAGTAATAGTGCTAACCCTACTTTTAGATAATAGTAAGTATCTATTTAGGATAAGTTAGAGATTAATACTAATTACTACCCCTCTCCTAGAGCTTAGATAGCGTTAGTCTAGGGACACTACTTAGGACTAGCAAGAGAATACTTAGAGCTATATTACCTATCTAATTCCCTAAGTCTTTAATTCTAAAAAGCTAAGGAAATAATTACCCTCCTTTAAACTTACTTTATTACTAGAAATAAGATAGCTAAGAATTAGACTATATTTAACTGCCTATATATAACTAATATAGAGATATTCCCTACTTTTAAGTTATAATTCTAGAGTCTTGCTATTAGAGGAGAAGTACCCTAATTAGAGTAGTATTACTACCTCTAGATAAAGATTACACCTTCCCTAAGGATACTAAACCTTACTTTCTAATAGAATTAGTATAATAATTTTAAGACTATAGTAGATTATCTTACTACTTTTAATATAGAATGCTACTTATACCCTACCTTATCTACTTCTACCTAGACTACTCTATTATCTAGAAAAGGACTAACCCCCTTCTAACACTCTAGAAACTAGTCCTATTTAGACGCTAATTAGAAACCCTATAATAGACCTTTAATAGCTAAACCTTATATACCCTACTTATAATAATAAGGCACTACCCCTTAAAATAATTAACCCCTATCTACTACTCTAGCTACTCCTAGCGCTACTATAATAGGAACCCTAGTAACTTGCTATAATTATAGAAAGCCTAGGCACTTCTCTAGTAACTACCCTAAACCCCCTAGGATTTAGGCTATAGATATAGAATAGGTTACTAAGAATTCTAAGGAAGAAGATACTACTAAATTAACTAATTTAGATAGCTATTAGATAGGAAATAACAACGCCTAGGAGGATTCTCCTTCCTAGGCCTAACTTAATATAACCTATTAAACCTTTCCTTAACTAAATTATTTTTTAGTTCCTATTTACTTACACGTATAACCCTATACCTTAATAGATCTAGTGTTTACCTAAACGCTTTAGTAGATACTAGGGCCTAAGGTTACTTATTTCTTAATTTAAAAATTGCTTATAATATCTCTTCTACGCTTAGGGTACCTATCTAAAAGCTACTATACAAGCTTACTATTAAAGGGTTCTAGGATTAGATTACCTCCCTAGTTACCTACTATATTTAGCTTTATATAATAGTTAGTAGCTAAAAGGTTTATAACTGCCCCTTTGTAATAGTAGCCTTAGGTTCTTAGGATTATATTATTAGACAACACTAGCTAAAATAGTTCTAAATCCTAATTAATATAGATAAATCTTAACTAATCTAGCTAGAGAAATATCCTCTAACCTACAACCCTGCACCTCCTATTCTAGTATAACTCTACTAGCAAGTGCTATCTACTCTAGTTACCTATAATATCTTGTAAAGAGACGCCCTTTAGGATTAAGAGGAGAACTAGAACTAAAATAGTCCTGGTTTAATTAACTAGATACGTAGTATACTTAAAATTCTAGCTGCTTATAGGGCTGCTACTAAACCTATTATACTACCTACCCTAGTCTAATTACTAACTATTACCCTACCTATAAAATTCTAAATTACTACTATTTCTACTAATACTTTCTATTTTAATATAAAAAAATCTTCTAATAAATTCTTTCCTACTAGCCTATATAAGATTAAGCGTAGGATCTAAACCCTATCTAAATAGGATACTCTTAATACCTACTTATTAGATTAGAAGCTCCTATCTAACTATAACTCCTATTAGGACGTCTTTAATAAGGCTAAGGCTAACAAACTTCCTATCTACTAGCCTTATAACTATAAGATAGTCCTAGAGGAACCCCTTCTAAACTACTAGAGTCCCCTTTATTATTAAAATACTAAGGAACTCTAGGCTACTAAGGAATATATACAAGAGCACCTATAGAAAGGTTTTATTAAGACTAGTTAGAGCCTATTTACCTCTTCTATCCTATGCGTTAAAAAGCTAAATAGAGGCCTTAGGATCTATATAGATTACTATAAGCTTAATAGCTTAATATAAAAGGACGCGTATCTAATACCCTATATAGATAATCTATTATCCTAGCTAGCTAAAGTAAAAATCTTTACTAAGCTAGATATTTGTGCTGCCTTTAATAAGATCTAAATAGACCCTAACTTAGAGGAGTACACTACTTTCTATACTAGATATAGTGCCTATAAATATAAAGTCCTACTATTTAGGCTATATAATAGACCTATAACCTATTAGTGTTATATAAATAATATACTAATAGATTATTTAGATAACTTCTACATTACCTATCTAGATAATATCCTAATCTACTCTAAAAACCTTGCTACTTATAAGGACTATGTTTAAAAAGTCCTTAAGCGTCTTTATTCTACTAGATTATAGGCTAATATTAAGAAAAGCGAATTGTATATAACCTATACCTATTACCTTAGATATATCCTAACTAATAAAGGCTTAGAGGTAGACCCTAATAAAGTTAAAGTACTCTAAAACTAGTCCGCTCCTAAGATAATAACTAGAGTAAAGTCC